AACTAAACGTAAACGTAACGTAACGTAAACGTAACGTAAACGTAACGTAACGTAACGTAACGTAAGTACGTAACGTACTACGTAGTACGTAGTAGAGGAGAGAGAGAGAGAGAGAGAGAGAGAGAGAGAGTAAAATATGTTGAGGGTGGCTCTCTTAAGCGGACCCCAATTAATTAGGATAAGGCATGGATGATGATGACAAGGGGGGCTTTCTTATATGTTTATCATGAGGCCAAAGTGTTGGGTAAAGTACCCCTTAGAATGTCAACTGTGCGGACCACATTCTCCTTATAGTTTTAGAATCTCTCTCTGTCTCTCTCACTCTCACACACATACATGCAAATCCAATATTGACCACAGCAACTACATATCTACCAGTGCATTATGACAATCATCCCCTAAAGAATCCCATCTTCTCCCACAACAGACGAACCACATTACCATGTAGTATCATCAAGATTCCTCTCATTTCATTTCTTAACAGAACATTACCATTATAATTAACCAATGCCCTACAATTCCCAAGAACAGTCTACTCAATGCAGCATGGGTCACAGGTGGAAATACAGTGACCATGACATTTCGAAGAACATTGAGGAACCTGCGTGCTAGCCAAATAAAATACACTGCTGAAATTCCCAATCGATATAAAAATAACGCATCCTTAGGAATCAAGAATCTTAGTCATTTAGAGATAGATAGAGAGAGGAAGTGAGAGAGATTTCAATATGTTAAGGGAGGCTTTCTTACATATTTATCATCAATCCTAAGGGTTAAGCTCAGTACAACTTAGAATGTCAACTGTGTGGACCACATTAGCCCTATAAGAATAGACTCCTTCTAGTTTAAGAATCTTTGCCTGTCTCTCTCACACACACATGCAAGTCCCATATTGGCCACACCAAAGACAACTAGCAGTGCACAATAACAATTCAGTTCAACCTCTAAAGAATGGCAGCTTCCAACACAACAGACCCCATTACGATGTAGAATCATCAAAACCATTCTCAATTCATTTCTTAAACAGAACATTAACATTATAATTCACAAATGCCCTGCAATTCCCAAAAACAGCCTACTTTACCCTAAATTAAACGACAAACTAATGGCAGGAACAAACTAAAACACACGAGGGAATCATATTCACTAGTTGAAATTCAAACTACTTCATATTCACTAGTTGAAATTCAAACTACTCAGAAAGAGAAACACATCTGTAAAGAAATGTAACATAATATCATCAGATTCCTTTAAAGTAACAGTTGAACAGAGGAAGTACGAGAAGCACCTGCAGAATTTCAACTACGATTCTACAGCGAGAGAGAGAAATCAAAAGCCAATCTTCCAAACCGCAAGGTTCTTAGATGGACAGAGAAATCAGGAGAAGAACGCAGGAAAGATTGTAGAGAGAGAAAGAAACCGAATACCATCACCCTTGAGTAACATGATACTTCAAGGAAAGATTCAATTAACCAGAAGAAATTCGAACTCCTCAAAGAAACAAAATGCTTTCCTCAATGAAACACATCTCTCTAACATATAACTCCCTAAAAGCCCTCAGAAAGATTAAATTCAAATGGTTTTGAGCACAAACAAAGGGAAAAAAAAAAATGCAGAGTACAAAAAGAAATAAGAACAGGATTAAGATTGCAGCGAGAAAGGAGTAAAGTACCTTCGCCCCTGACTTGCATGGCGCTGCAATTAGAGAAGAGCTTCAATATATTGAAGGAGCACAAGGACCAAGAGAGAGGGAGAAACAGAGAGAAGACGTGATTTTCGGCCCTTTTATAAACAGAAACCAAAGTCACCAAACATGCAACAGTCAGAGAGAGAGGGGGCAAAGGGAGTAGAGAGAGAGTGTTAGTTGAGAATGGCGCCGCCTTTTGTCAGTTTCATTTCCGTAAAAAATGCATTGTTTATTCTTCGTGTTCGTGTACACAAAGAGATACAGCCCCTGGTTCTGTGTGACTGGGCAGCATAGGGAATTATTTTGATTTTCAGGAAAAAAACAGGGTTTTCAAAACATATAGGGAATTATTTTGGCCATATTCAACGTTAGTTATGCCACCCAAAAACGAATGGTATCATAGGCGTTGTCATTTGGGCCCAAGAAAGCGTGTTGTATTATAGGGGTTGTCATTTGGGCTACTCATTGAAGTAATTTTTTTTTATAAATAACAAAGTATTTATTAATAACAACAAATTATCAAACAGAAATAGAAAGAGAAGATAAGGACGTGCCATTTGGCAAGTGAAACGGGTGGCTTCACTAAAAACATGCTCCAAAGAAACAATCAACAAATCAAGAATCCGCAACCACAGGGATTTCAAGCGTATCAACAAATAGAGAAAATTGGGATTTCAGTACGCTTAACTTCTTTTTACACCACCCCATCTACTCTCCTTCCATAATACACGCATACCCCAAATTATAGCCTCCTTTGAATTGAATTGTCTCTGGTTCGATTAAGTTATATTGATGAAGCATAAAATCAGTCTCCCAAATGCCCCCATCCCTCTTGCACCTACCCGACGTACGCTTGATCGTAGCAAGAACTCTCTCAAACGGCATAATCTCTCTTTCAAAGATGCGCCTATTACGTTCCAACCAAATCTCCCATAATATAGTTCTCTTGGCAATCTTCTATGTGGCCCTACCAATATTTGGCAATTGTGGTAAAGAAAGATGATTGAGAATATACCCAAAACACTATGTAGTAATGCTGTGCTAAAACCCAAAGTCATGAAAAACCAGTGCCAAATCCTAGAGACAAAATTACTGAGGAGAAAAAGGTGGGATACGGATTTAGCATCTTCATTGCATATCAAACAAATGTTAAGTAGAATTTTCTCTCTTTGTAGTAGATTATTTATAGTTAGGATTTGTAACAAGATTTAACTGACAACTCACCATCCAATGCAATCGGTCGCATGAAAGCATGTGTCCAAAGGGAAGACAACGGGCACGGGTTTATTATTATGGTGGAATGACCAAAATGGATTTATAAATTATAAAAAGGAAAGTATGTAATGAGATCATTACTATTGGTGTAAGGTGGTCACAATTAATCATTGATCATTGTATGTGAAATTGGGGGATTGCATTTATCTCATTGACCAAACTCAAAGGTTAAAATAAAATCTTTTGAACTTTGTGACCCACCTGTCGTATTAGATTTCGAATCTGATAGTTATAAGTAGTTGTTCTCTTTGTATGAAAGGTAATTGGTCTTATTGTATAAAATCCCCTTATAAAAAAAAATTGTCCAAGCACCTCAAAAAGTGAATTAGCAACTTCAATATTAAAATTAGAGTAATGATCCTATGAGACCCTCCCACACCCACGTATGTAGGACCCTAAAGGATCACAATTAAATTTGGCACAGATCTCTAGAAAAATTATCACATGGGTGTGGGACTTGATTTTTCTAAAGATCTGTGCTAAATTTAATGATGATCTTTTGAAGTCCTACACATATGAGTGTGAGAGGGTCTCACAAAGTCATTTCCCATAAAATTATCCAAATGTCTTTTTATTTAAGTACTTCTTCAAATTTTAATTAAAAATGTCAAAATGGTCCCCTTGATTTCATGATACAATAGCGAGGTCATTTTGATAATTTGAAAGTCACTTGAGTCTTGACATGAATGATCCTTGATCTTAGGATGAAAGGTTCTTGTTACGTATCTTTTACCAAAAAAAATTAATTTGGGGTTAAAAAAAAAAAAGAACAAACAAAGAGTATTTATGTTTCTTCACTGGGTGAACCTTTGTAATTTTGTCATTCAATAAAATTTGATAATATTAAAAATAAAAAAGAATAGAAAAAAAAAAAGGACTTAATGGAGACATGTTACCTAGTTACATCCACTTATTCACAATTCCAAACCTTAGGTAGGACCTTCTAATAGTAGTTTTTATAAGGTCTTGTCTTTATCAAAATAAAATAAAGTCTCATCATGAATTTTCGTCCCGAAAGCTCTTTGGGCAACGGAAATGTCTATAATGGATTTAAAATTAATTTCCAACACCGATTATAAAACTTAAAACTAAAAAATGGTATAGATAATCCAAAACTGTGAATACGTATTTTTAGGACAAAATGGATGATATAGATTATACATTGCAATATACACTATTTTTGGAGGATAAAATCTTTAATGTTTTCTAACAACCATAATAGTCAAGGTTGAGATGACTAATTTGAAGGTTTTCCAATGCCAAAACTGTAATTTTCATTGAGTTTTGAGATGACTCTTTTTTTTCTTTTCTTTTTTTATAGAGAGGAAAACATTTTCGTTTAATAAAAGCATGTACAATTATTTGGCTCAAGTAACTTCCACAAGCCATACTACCCCGATGTCTTCACTTCTCCATGATAACAAAATCAGACTATTCTGCCTCATTTATTTTGACGTGGTAAAACAATCATCATCATCTTAGCATTTTCTCAATTATTTAGATTCGACTATGGAGTGATTAATCAATATTTCTTAAAATAATTGTTTAGGAAAATGGATTCATGTACTAACATTGAGAAAAAAAGAAAGAAAAAAAAACTTGTGATACAAACTACAAAGTGATGGTAAGAGAGTGAGGGGTCTTGATGGGGAAGACCCAGTAGATTTGAGAGCACAAATCTTTACGTGGGACACACGGGAGAAAACTAGAAAAAGCAATGGAAGAGAGAGAGAGGGTGCGCAATAATTGCAGCTTGTGAGAGAGGGTGGACAATAATTGAAACTTCGTTAAATAATGATTACTTTCTCTGACACGACGTAAAATAAATGGACATGAGGATGAATTTTTTGAGTGGTACGTCGGAGAAAGCTAGGACCACATAGTGTGAAAGTTATAATAATAAAATATAAGAACCGGCCTTGGGTAACTCGACAAATCCATGGGTACTCGCCGGAGTTTTAGAACACTAGTTTTTAGAGATTGCAAGACGGTTATATCGTGACTTCAAGGTGAAATACAGATTTATACTTAAATTTCGAGAGTGAAGTACAGGTTTATACTCAAATTTCGGGTGAATTTCAACAAATTAAGGTTGAATTTTGCCAAAGCTCGCATATTACGATAATAAATATAAATAGCATTGCTCGCTAAGTATTAAATTTAAAATAAGATAAAAGGAAAAAAACCCAACCTTTTATTTTCATGTGCTTTGGTTTTTTGAAAGATGCAGCTTTGAAAATATCTTTCATGGAAGTGGTTACTACAAGTTATACGGTGACTTGTCGTTTCGCTTTTTTGTCATCAAATAGAAAAGTGCTACATTTCTTTATTGTGATTTTGACAATCAAACACGCCTTTAGGAGGCTCGTTTGTTTTTTTGGAGTAGGATTTTCGGCAGGAATTTTCATAAATCCGTTTTCCTGGAGATTCTCGATCTCAAAAATAAAAAAGGGGCATCTTGTCATTTAAGTATAGGGAGGGGTAAGAAAAAGCTGTCGTGGTCAAATTTGCGAGCGGAGCACATGCTATATCCTACGTGTGAAGTTTATATAAAAAATTAGAAGGTTTTACACGTGCATAAAATCAAAACATGCGGCATTTCAATACAAAAGACACGTGCTGCTGCTCCCTCGATGCAACGCACACGCGGTCCCTTGTTTCTCTCTTCTTCCGGGCTCGTAAAATCAGTGACGCGTAATTCACGCCAAAAACTTATATGCTCCCGCGGGTACACATGACGCCAAAAACTTATATGCTCCCGCGGGTACACATGATAGATTAGAGGGCTGGACTAAGAGTCGCCGATTTGGATTGACAGTCGGTGGGGCCTAACTTAATTCCTCCTAGTTGGATTTAAGAATAGTTTTGATTTGATAGACTCGGACGCTTCTGTCAAAAAAAAACTAGGCGACCGTGTCAGGCATGTAGCAATTCAAATTAACGAGATCGCCATGTTCTACCCATTTTATTTTAGGTTTTTAAAAAAAATTAAAATAACTATTAATTTCTTATACCGAAGGATCGGTTGATCAACGATTTGAATCGATCCAATAGGTGATCCAGATAGGAATCTTAAAGTATTGCAGTAAAGAAGCTCACATGAGGCACAAAATGCAGCAATATGGGCTCACCTTCCCTACAGTAGTAGATGATAATAGTATGAAGCGAGTATGAAATAGTCACAGTTATCGGTTAATCTCCATGGTCCATGTCTGGAAATTACGGTTGATATCTCTTTGATGTAACATACATGTATTTAGGCTTTTCCTTGTAAGATACCAGCCACATATCGGAGGCAGTAAGGGTTTCGAGAAAATTAGATAAATATTTATTTTTGTTGTTGTTATTATCAAAATACCAAATATTTTGTTGTTATTTATCGTATGTCACTTTTTAAACTTCATAACAACTTTTTTTAATAAAAAATTTTATCGATTTTTTATTTTTCAACAACCGAAAACTTTTACATCTATTACGAGCTCTCCATATTTGGTTTCTTGATATTGGATGAAGCAGTGGACGAGGATGGAGCAGTTTCTCTCTCATCTCTCTTCTTTGTTTCCATTTTTGGGCTGGAGGCCTGTTTTGATGAAAGAAAATTTTGATTTTTTGAGAAAGTAGCCGTGTTTGTCGGTGACCAAGCAGTAAATTATCGATCTCTGGTCTTCAAATGTTGCAGATTATAGTGGACCGAAGTGTATTTTTCCCTTCCATTTTCAAATAAAAGAAACCATAGCGAGAAAAACCAAAAATCTTTCGGGCCAAGAAACACAGCTACTTTCTCAACAACGACCTTTCTCTCTCTACAAAAATCTGGCCCCTATAAAGTCAAACTTTTATTTGACCCAAGCCTCCCCTCGTCCGAAACCCTAAAACATTCTCTCTCATCGTTTTCGACGTCAAACCTGTTGGAAAATTTTTGCCCTTTTTTTAGTATCTTTTGAAGAAATGGAGATCATTTCTCCTTTGCTCATGATGGGTTTTGGGAACTTGCCTGAAAAGGATCGAGAGGCAAAAGATAAAAAGCCACCATTAAAAGCCGG